TTTGGCTCTTCACTATAAAACCCGCAGGGGACTGACACCACAGCACAGACACCACTAGCTGTTAGCAGACTAGCATGCTAACACTGAGTTACACGAGACCGAGCAGCCGCAAATGTTGTCTCCTCTGCTCGCCTTCAGCTCGGTATTTGATCCAACATCTTAATCCCCAGCTCGCTGTGATGCGGCAGATAAAGCAGCCCGATGACACCTGGAGGGCTTTCTGTCAGTCTGTTAGCATGCTAACACGGTTAGCTTTCCGTACCTGAGCAGAAGCGGACTCCCCGGGTCGCTCCGTCTCATCCGTGGTTTTTCTCCTCCTCCGGGCAGAATTCCGCCCGTGAGCGGCATCCGCCGTCAGAGAGGTTGTCGGTCCACCGGGCTCCGCTGCTTGGATCCACTTAGACCGAAAGTCCCGTTAGAAACGGGGACATTAGTGTCGGGTGTTGTCGTCCGAACCGTCGCTACACACAGCTGGAAGGAAAATATGTACCGCGGTGGATGATGGGGAACATCCGGGTTTTTTGTTGCGCCAAATCGTCGATAAGGACGATTTTGACTGAAGTATTTCCTAATTTTAGTTTTTCATTGTTGTACTTAGTGCGTCAAAACAAGTATTTTTGTTATCATCTTTCATTCATTCCATATATTTCTAGATAATTATAGAACAACAACACTACAGGATTTTAACATTTTAAATAAATAACATTTTAATCAAGAAGGAATTTGCTTTTAGTATTTGATTTCTTTTTTACTGTTTATTTGTTTAGTTTATTTTGTTTATTTTTTAAGAGCTGGGCAGCACTATATACACCTCAGGTTTAGAATCAGAAATACTATATTGATCCTGAGTGGAAATCCCTTTGTCACAATTATTCACTCTCCACATCAAGGAATAGATAGAAAATACAACAAAATATCACAATATGAAAAATCTAAATCTAAAATCTAAATATAATGGAGTGTGGATATGTACAGTAAGTAGTAGTATTAGACCCACACACACCTAAGAGGGACTGTTAACCAAAGGCTGCAGGAACCATGATGTATTGGTTATTTGTTTACAGATGATATTAAATCACAAGGAAACACAAACACTTTGTATGAACAACTGACTTCTTTGGATGTCAAATTTGTTTAAAGTTTGAGTTTTTCCCCGATACAACATAGTTCAAAATGAATCCACTTCAGCTTAGACCTCTAATGTATAATAGTAAAATAGTAACAGTGGACAGTTGTTTGCATTAAGTACTTTTACTACTTTATGTGGGAATTGTTGGGTTTGTGTAAATAATGTTACAAAGAGTACAGTCTAGACCTGCTCTACATGAAAAGATAATGTTTGGTAGAAATAAAATTTAACTGGATTGAATTGAAAAGTACATATTCCTGATTGTACTTACATACTTATAACATTTTCAATGCAGGACTTTTACTTCTTTTTACAGTGGTATTTGTAGAAGTAAAGAGTCTGAATCCTTCGTGTCCCAGCATCGCATCTCGACCTGAACTGACCCCGCTGTGTTGTGTTTCCTGAAATAATGCGGAGTGAGACATCACCTCTCTCTCTCTCCACAGATAAAGGACCGGGTTTTTTTAGTGCTGCCCCCTGATGGTCCGGACAGGAACCCTCCAGGAGATCACGGAGAACACGGCCAGGTCACAGAGTTTGTTTCACTTTTAATCGCTCATTGTGAAACAGAGAAACATAATAAAGTATACTTTTATTTGATTTTATTAATACAATGGGTATAATTTAATATGTGGTTGCAACTCTCCGAAGCACAAGATGGCGGTGCTGCGCTTTAAACGGTGAAACCAACCGCCGTAATGAGGAGGAGGACAGAAGGAGCTAAACAAAACAAAACAAACAAACTGAACTGTGACTTCAGCGGGTTGAATCTGGCTTAAACAAGAGGATGGCGACCTTCAGCAGACGGGCTCTGGACAGGACCTACTCTGTGGTACATTCAGCTGCTTTCAGTTAAACTTGTTCTCAGTTTCTGAAAAGGTTCCCGGTTATGCTAATTAGCCGCTAGCCGTTAGCCACCAGCTAGCACAGTTTTTACAATCAAACCAAACAGTGGAGTACTTAAATAGATTTATTAATTTGTCTTAGTAAGGTTGGGTGATGAGCGATGTTAGTTAGTGAGGGAGTGGTTACGTGTTGGTGTTAACAGTTATATCAAATTTAACATTTAGATGGGGAGAGTTGTAAACAATCCTGAGACTTTTAACCTCCTCTGAGCTGCATATCTTTACTGTCACAGTATTCATTTTAAATGTTGAAATGTCAGTATTCATTTTACACTACTTATTGTAACAGTAAGAGGCTTTGGTTCACATGCATAGATGTATTGTCAAATACAGGTGTTGCTGGCTGTCGTGGTCTTGTCCTGGTCTTATGTGATCTACGCCAGCAGGATCGCATCTTATTGGCTGTTGGAGAAGAGGACCGCCCTCCTCCTGCAAAACTGACAGCTCGTTGGACCGCCAGTATAGGTGAGTGATTATATGCACAGAAATAATTGAGAGGGCCAAGAAGGGAGAGCTGTAGCTGAGGAAGAGAGTGAAGAAGAGGAGGATAACAGCCAACATGCTGCAACAGATGAGACCGAAGCAGGGCCGGTAAACTCTCTCTCAGGAAAAAGGGCCTCCTTTCTGTTTTTCACTGGATTTATTTTGTTATTTGTTTGACACAATGTCAAGCAGTTTAGCTGTGGCCTGTATACTAGATTGTTCAGTTATTTATTCGTCACAAAATACTTGACAATTTTATTTGTATTATTTCATATTAATTTATTATTTTAAATAAACCTAACAATAATATACCCCATTAAATCTAGGGAATACAGGTCAACCAGCTGATCCCCCAGGATTGCAACATGCAATACAGTAACACAGGATACTCTCAATAAAAGATTTGTAAAGTAAGAATTTTGTTATCAACATTAAAAAAGTTCAGTTTTCTGACTGGCCTCTGACGGGCTGAGACCCTCTGGAGAGGATGTTGGTAGAAAGAATCGTGACAGAGCTGAACAAACTCTGTTTAGTCTCACACATTTTATTCACCTGTCCTGCTGTCCTGTTTTGTTCTCATTCACGTGATGTAACTTTGATTCTCTCTCTCTCATGCTTGTTGTCTTCATCTCTCGCCCATCGTCCTGCTTTGGTTTCAGGGTGATCAATCCTCTTACAGACTGAGAGACTCAACCTGACAAACCTGTGAAGGCTGGCCGTTCTGAAGCACATTGGTAAAACACCTCAGTAGTGGACTGAAGCCCCGTGACGTCTGAAAGCCACCCGCCTGAACGGAACGATGGAGAAGAACAATGAAATCGCTGCACTGAGACGGGACAGTCTGCTGTGTGGGAAAACGACACAAGCAATTATGGGTACAGTATTTGTTGTTGGTCGTTCAGCAGCTAGAGGTGGGCGGATAAAGCCTCATGAAATGTGTTTGTGCAGAAAAAAGATTTGGTGTTCCGACGTCTGCTGGTTTGTAGTCCAAGAAGCCCGTGATATTTATTATATATTCCTAATACTTCACTTGAGAAGCGATTAATGGATAAGTTCTAGAGCTGCAACTGATTGAATAATCGATTTAGTTGTCAACTTTTAAATTAATTGTCAACTATTTCCATAATTGATACACAGTCAGAGAGAGAGAAAGAGATTATTATTATTATTATTATTATTCCATCAACAAAAAATCCCACAATCACCCAAGGAAGAGATTCAGGAGGCATAACTGAGCCAGTCCATTACAGTTATTAACAAAGAAGAATCTTATATATGGCTAAAAATTAACAAAAAGAGAATTTGTGCTGTGCAACATTCTACATGTGTGCCATCTACATACCTTCTTCAGAATCCCCCTAATACTACCCAGATATTTTTTCTAGCTTTTTTTTCTTGCACGAACAGGGGAAAGAGCTGACACTATGAACACCCAGGGAGACAAACACTTAACTGGAAGCACCTGCTTCGCCCTACCTGAATACAAGTGGTATGCAGCTTTTACAGCTCTGCCGTACGCTGGGTCTGTACATAGTCAACGGCAGGCTACAAGGGGAATCTCTGGGTCGCTACACTTACAGCTCAGCTCTTGGCAGCAGTACGGTAGATTATTTCATTACAGATCTAGATCCAATGTCTCTCAGAGCTTTCACAGTCAGCCACCTCACACCCCTCTCAGACCACAGCAAAATCACTATATCTGAAAAGGGTGCAGTCTAACTCTGGAGCCCCCAGTGCCTGTGAACTGTTTAACAGCACATACTCATACAGATGGACCCCAGACAACATGGGGGCGTACCAAAAGGCACTGGAAAATCAAAATATACATGATTTAACTAATTTATTTCTAACTGAACCATTTCCCCGTAATAATTCTGAGAGTTTTGAAATGAAAAACGGGGTCAGCAGCGTTTTCAAACTTAAATTTTTTAGGTCTTCGTTTTTTCCATTTCAGTCTGGACAGGAGGTGCAAACGTAGCAATTGGTCTCCCTTTTAAAATGAACATTCAGTAGTGTGGATGGGGCCTGTCAGACCTGGGCCCTGACAGTAAACACTAAAATAATGATCTCTCAGAAACAATCCAGAAATCAGGTTAACACACACAATTTCTAGTTAGACACCACTAAACATACAAAAAACATCACTTACCTTGGCCTCAACATTACATACACAGGAAACCTCAACATGGCTGTGAAAGATCTGAGGGACAAAGCAAGGAGAGCTTTCTATGCAATAAAAAGAAACATTGAATCCAATTCCAGTTGAAATCTGGCTTAAAACTTTCCAATTTTTACTCGAACCAATAATTCTATATGGCAGCGAAATGTGGGGCCAAAACGAAATAATGAATTTGACAAATGGGACAAAACGATCTGAATCTTTCCATACCGAGTTCTGTAAGAGCATCCTGCAGGTGCAGAGACAAACACCAAATAACCTGTGCAGAGAGACATATCATCACAAAGCCCTAACATACCAGCTGAAACCAGAGAAGAGTCCCCTCAGCCAGCTGGTCCTGAGGCTCTCTGCAGTAACAAGTCCCCAACAGCCTCAGGTCAGCAACACCAACTAAAGCAGACCGAACCAAATTATCAACAAGCAAAAAGAAAAATATATTGAATACTGGAAAGAAACGACCAAAACACAAAGTAAATTACAATGTTATCTGACCCTAAAAAGAGAATTCACACTGGCAAATTACCTGAGCACAATAAAATGTCCTAAACTAAGAAAAATATTGACAACATACAGACTGAGTGAACACAGCCTGGCCATAGAAAAGGGTCACCACAGACAGAGCTGGCTACCACAAGAGGAGAGACTCTGCTCCCAGTGTGACAGAGGACAGGTAGAGACAGAGCTGCACTTTCTAACCTCATGCCCTGAATATAAAACATTGAGAGAAAAACACTATGACAAAAACACTTTGTACACATTTCCCAAATTTACCCCGATTCAGTTTCTTCATGGGTTTATTTGTTTTTTCACATTTGATACAGGGTTTTGTTTATAATATATTGTTGTATAATGTACTTCTACATACTCTTGACCTATGGTGCACACACACACAATGAACTGTATGAACTGAATTCACAACACACATTTACTGTTGTATTTTTATTATTTATTTAATAAACTGCATGAAATTAATTGTTCTTTTGTGTTATCTTTTAAGCTTTGGCAATATTGTTCTTTGACATTCATGGTAATAAAGAAAAATTGAATTGAACTGAGAGACAGAGAGAGACTCTCTTTAGGTGAGTACTCTATTAACAAAAACACATTTATACAGAATAAAAACAAACCAAACGGTTACAAAAGAGAAAAGCAGTTATTTCTCATGTTGCATTTTTACTTAAAACAGGAGGTACCAAACTCTAATGAAGGTGTAGAGATATTCCAGTGAATGTAGGTATGACTTTGTGTCAAAGTTCTTGCGTGTATTCTGTCTAATTAATCTTTAAACATCAGTGGTTGGTGTTCAGTTACGCAGGCTGAACGATCAATAAATTGGAAAACATGAAATTTGAAACTGCATTATTTTCAATGTTGAGGTTTTTTATTCAAGAACTGAATTTTCTCTACAGTGACAGGCTACCTTAAAAACCATATTTGACAAATATTGTCTACACAAATTATAATATTAAAAATAAAGTAATAAATAAAACAGTAAGCGTGTGTGTTAAAATAAAATACAAATATATTAAAAATAAAATAAATACATAAAACAGTAAGTGTGTGAATAAAATAAATAACATGGTAAGGCGGTAATAGTTGTAATGGTTACGTCCGACTATTAACCACATCCCCATTCTCTGTTTGGTAAAGAACGCCCACCTGTAACCGCAGTTAAATAGATGGAGGGGGTTTCAAGGCTTTTTAATATACAGTCTATGCTTTAAGGGACCAGCTGTCAAATCGGCGGAACAGCCACCGTCATCAAAGAGATGGTCCATCTGGTTGCAAGTTGCCATTAAAGAAGATTAAGTTATATTTCAATAGTCGTAAAATATTCGAGACCTTGACGCGGAGCTGATGAAGCTAACGTTAAAAGATGTGAAATCGACGAAAGTTGAATATAAAACCGAGATGGTTTGTCTGTTCGTGTTCCTGTTGGCCCGTATGTCTCCAGGATCTTCAGGTAAAGACACGGTTTTTAAAGACTTTTGACCAGTGTTATAAAATAATTTCCCTAATGTTTAATCGTCTGAAAAGCTACCGTTAGCCTAGTTAGCTTACTATCCAACGAAGGTTAAAGTCAAGGGCAACTGGACTTGGTTGAAGCTACTGTAAGACGTTTCGTCCCTCATCCAAAGGACTTCTTCAGTTCTGACTGACTGGCAGGGAAACTCAGCTATTTAACCTCAGTGGGGTCGTTATCCGGGTCATCGATACGCTGGTTCGTTACTACTGACGACAGTCGTTAAACGTCCTCAAACGAGTGTCCTCTGTCCTTCAGATGTAAGTAGACGCAGAGTCTTGACCTGAGGAGTTGGCCCTTCTGTGTTGAGCCATGCGTTTGTGTCGTGGTTGTTTAGTCTCCCCAATATACAGGTCTGTGCATTCCTCACTGCATTGGACCGCATACACTAGATAGCTTTTCTTGTGTTTGGGTGTGCGGTCTTTGGGGTGGACCAGCATCTGTCTTAGTGTGTTCTTAGTTCTTAGTGTGTACATCAGCCTAGTTAGCTTACATTAGCCTAGTTAGCTAACGTTACAGTCAGTCCCAACAGAAAACGCAATGAATCACCTGATCTCTAAAATTACTCTGCCGTGGCTTCCAGCGCAGAAACGTGTTAACGATCCCTCCGAGTTTGTTTTAACTGACTTTAGTCTGACTTGTAGCTGCTGACTAGCTTGTCACAGCCTGAGCTAATAACTACGCACTTAAAAATGCTACAGCCTCCGCCTGCTCACTCAACCTGACAATAACAGGCGGAGTGAGCCGCCTTGTGTCTTTTAAGTTCAACTATTGTGACTTTGGTCAGTAACATTATAATCAATGGTGATAAATGATTCCAAGTCTTTATTTTCTTACACTTAACGTTACAGGTTTCATTCCTTGATAGGATTTCACTGAACTAATCGGGGTCTCTCTCAGTAACTCTGAGAACAAAGTATTTGGTGTTCTTGATTGATGAGTTTATAACGGTATGAAATACTTGTTAATACTGTTATTCTAAAATTTGTTTTTTTATGGGGGTATTTATGTTTCAATATTATTTGTGTGAACAGATGAGCGATATGTGTGTAAATGTGTAATCTGTAAATATAAAACACTTTGCACAAACACAAAATGAAGATTTGTTAACTCTCAAATATTTTGCAAATAGAAAACAAATTCCACAAATAATAAAAATATCTGAATATATTTAAGTTTACAAATAAATGAACCACATATCTGAATATCTTCCTAACATTTACAACTTTCAAACAGGCATTTGTGCGTCCCGCCTGTATTTGTCGATCTCAGTTCTTCACACACAGAGTTTTGAAACAAACTTATCGCCGATGGACAGAAAATCGACTCGTGTCATTCCGCTGCTTTCGGCAAGTATATCCAGCTGCAGACCGCAGACAAATGTGACGGAAGTTGAACTTCTAAATATGGTTTGTCCCAGAAGACACCGCGCACAAAACGTGATGACGTTCATCTCGACTTGCGTATATGATCGATCCTAATGCAAACCGTTTTATTCTTTAGAGGCCAACAACAGAACTTTAAATACACTTCTGAGATGTTTTTAGGCGAGAAATCAACTATATAGATTTAGAATATCAACAGTTTTACATTACATTAGCTATATGGTTACCTTCAGCCCATGGCGATCCGTCCTTGAACCGTTACAGAGCACGTTACGGTTGTGGAAGTTTTGAAGCACTAATTTATTAATTTAACACGCCCTGAAGTGTACAGTATGAACATTGTGGTTGTTGCAGTGCCTGCCATAGCGCGATATCTCAATTATGCGGTTAACGCGATAGCCCTAAATAATTGTTGAAAAATATCATTATTATCTAAGTTAGGACTTAACAAATTAGAGACCGATGTAGAGTGTTTTTCTGCGCAAGGATTTAATAAAAACCACAAATGAAACCGCTGTAACTGGACATAATATTCAACTAGTGGTAAAATAGTATACTATTGTATGAAATTATAATTAATGTAGTATTTAATATATTATTGGTATGCTAAGAGTAAACTATTAACTAAACATTAGACTCAATATTTTATTTAATACATTCATGTACAGTTCCTTCTGCAGGTTGTGAATAGACATTAGACAGATGTACAGAGCCAGTGTGCCCATATTAGCTCCTTCTAGCCGCCTCCTCCGTTGAGCAACACACTCCCCTTGTTCTGTTCTGTTTCACTAGTTGTTGTTGTTATAAATATTGTTTACTGTTTTAAGTAGAGAAATACACATTTCAAAATGTCAGTATTGCCAGACCTCCTCCGACAGCAGTTCCAGTTCACATCAAAGGGAAGATGAAATGAAGCCCTCAGCTGTGTGGGAGCACTTTAAACTGAGTGATGACAGCTGCAGTGTGGAAGTTATGGTGTTCATTAATTTTACAATTTCTTAATTTTATTACAGTGAAATTTCCTACATTTTAAAAGGAATCAGTAAACTGTAGGCTGGAAACAAACAGACAACAACATAATTAACACAATTAGATAATTATATTAGGCCGATTGTAGAAGAAGAGCATTTAGTTGCTATAATAAAAGTTGAATCTTGCATAATAATGTGTTAGATTTAGTTCCTCTACCGGAAACACCGCTCATCCTGTGGGCTCTCCCTCTTGACCTCCGCCCGGTTGAACTATTCCCGGATTCTGCTCTGAACCTGCTTGGATCAGACTCTCTGTTACGGTTCCTCCTGCTCTGTACAGCAGCCACCAACCAAGTTCGGCACGCATCGATTTTCACTCTGCCTGCTCTTCACCTGCTCAATATCCGATCCTTTTACCCTGCAATAAATATTCCTCTTTCATCTAACCTCCTCCCTTTCTTAGTCCTGCTAGCTGCCATAACAAAGTTAAAAACAAAGTTTTGCTAATAATCACTTATTTAGCCTAGCTGTGAGAATAAATAAACGGAGCGCTCTCTCTCACAGACGCACTCGGGCCAGCCCTAGTATTTTGTGCATTTTCCTCTATAATGAAGCAAGTAGACTCATAGTACCAATTTGTTCCATTATAATCGAATCTTGAATCGAATTAAAGAAGAGTTGAGCTTAAACTGAGTTGACCCGGTGCCAAGTTTAGAGTTGCCTGCAGAGGACGGGCCACACTGCCTACAATATAAACACAGCAGAGCATTACACAGAGAGAAGTCTTGTTACTATTTTTCCAACAACACAAAGCAATAGTTGTTTAAATATGACTTAAGTTCCTAGGTGTGTGTGTGTGTGTGTGTGTATATATTTATTGGGGCTGGGCACATTAGTGCGTTAACTCATTAATTAACGGCGCCAAATTATTATTATTTATTTTCCACTTCACCTCACTGTAACAGGGACACTTGCTACTGAACGTAGACAGTTTCTGATGCTCCCTGATAAAAGCAAAATGTTTCTGCTGATACCTGCTCAGAAAAAATCCCAAGAAAGCTGGACTCTGATGGTTTAATATTTGATTTGATACATTAATGTTTAAGTTGAGATTTACAAGAAATATTTAACTACATGTTATTGCACTTCTGTGTATATAGCGGTACATTTAAATCAAGTGTGCAATGCACCAATTTAGAATTCCTTATTCAATGCGATTAAACAATGCGATGAATCGCAAGACAATCATGTGATTAATCGCGATTAAAAACTTTAATTGTTGCCCAGCACTAATATATATAATATTACACTCGTGAATAACTTCCACACACTTAAGACATGTTTCAGCCTGTATGTGGCTAACATGAGCTTACTGTCTGTGCACACGTGAAACACGGCGCAGCGTGTTTGTGACGTTCAATGTCACCGGCAGAAAATTGGATATTTGACACTGCTTGGCCACGCTCACTGATCAGAGCAGAGTAAGTGACAATAAATGGTCTATTTCAGTCCCCAGCTGATCAATCTGCACATCTCTAGCTGTAGAAGATGAGTTCCACTCCAATAAGCTGTTAAACAAGCTACCAAATAAGCTCGGTAATGTTATAACAACAGAGTGGGATCATGGAAAAATAATCGGTTATCATAACTTTTTGTCATGATTAATTTATTAATGACTCAGCATCATCTGTATTAAAGATAAAAGAATCAGTTCATCCAATGTTTAAAGTGCATAAAACAGCCCTGCAGCCTGCTTAACATCACTGGAGCTCCACAACTACTGAAGGATTTGAACTGGTTTTCTGCCACCGGACTCCTGTGAGGGGAAGCAGGCAGTGGACCAAACCACTGTGAGGCAAGAGAGGGGGGACTCAAAATCAACAATTATTCTAAGTATATATTATATTTGATGGTCTTTAAGCGGGGGACATCCCTCGGATAGGGGGGAACCTGACCCCTCCGCCCCCCATAAACAGTGTGTGACTAAAATCCTGTAACGTCTCCACAGTTGTGACTAATTATTGAATGTTCCCATGATCTCAGGTGTGAAGAGGCCTTCTGTTTAAACAAAGATGTTCTCACTGTATCGTCCTGTGGAGTCCTTTTGAAATGTAGTTACTTTTTCTTCTGGATTTTTTATTGTTTTTAGATGTTACGAGTGAAACCTGGAGATGATGTCATTCTGCCATGTCAGGCTGGTGAAGCCTCCATCAGAGCTGTAGAGTGGACCAGACCTGACCTGGAGCCAGAGTACGTCCTCTTTTACAGAGGTCGACGCTCACTTCCAACCCACAGCATCCATCCTTTAAGGACCGGGTGCAGCTGGTGGACAGAGAGCTGAAGGACGGAGACGTGTCTTTAATTCTGAAGAACGTGAGCAGCAACGACGCTGGAACATACGAGTGCCGAGTTGCAACAGAAGGATCAAGACGTAAGAGAGCCGCCATTGAGACTGAGCCAATCAGAATCATCCAGCTGGAGGTTTCAGGTGAGTTTGTGGAGGTCAGTGTGTCTGTGTGCCATGTTGTAGCTGCAGTTTGTTCCATGTTGATTCTGAGAGTCAAACATGAGGAATATAGAAGATCTAGAAGAGTAAATGGAGGCTGTTCCACTGTTCACTCATTTCCTGACTAATATGCACTTTGATCTTCAGGGTCCAACAGCGGAGACGTCGAGGAGGGAAACTACGGCCTTTACTACGGACTGGGAGCAGCTTTTGTTCTGGTTTGTTCAGCTGCTGTTGGATTGGCTGTTGTCTTGAAACATAAAAGATCTGAACAGTCCGAAGAAAATTAGTTTGTATGTTTCAACGTCCCCACAAAGGTAGCAAAACAAATCTGTGTGTGTCAGTATCCTTTTATACAGCCTTCTGTCAGTATTTGTCTTTCTACATGTGTGTGGTATCCTGAGCCATCTACCAATCAAAACAAATCTGTGTGTGTGTGCGCGCACAGTACTGTGAAGTTTAGCGAAGAGAGCACAATACTCAGGAGGAAGTTCAGTTCAGTTAATCTGCAATTCAATCCCTGGCTCCTCCAGGCTGCATGTCGAAGTGTCCTTAGGCAAGATACTGAAACCCAAATTTCCCCTGGTGGCTGTTCCGCCAGTCTATGAATGTCAGTTTATGTTTGAGCACTTAGGCTCAGTGTGTGAATGGTGAATGCGATGTGGTGTAAAAGCACTATGAGTGGTCGTAAAGACTAGCAAGGCTCTATACAAATACAGAGCATTTACATGATAAACTCAGGAAAGAAAACTTTATATACAGCGATTTTGCACAACTATAAAAGCTGACTACAACTTGCTGCTGTTGCCTTTATTTAATCGTTACTGTTTTATTGCTTGTTTTTGTCCTGGCTGAGGGTTTTGTCTCAATATGGCTCAGAATCTGACATTAATTAGTATTATAATTCAATTATAATACTATCAGTCAGGTGCTTTTACAAAATGTGGAATCATTGGCCAATATGTAAATATGTATTTACATTTTGTATGTATGTTTTTTTTTTTTTGTACTGGGTATGTGTTGATTGATTTATTGTAAGTGATATCTAAATGAAATCAGAATCATAAATGGCCTTGTGAGATTTATGTAGAGTAGTTTATTAAACTATGCATTAAAAACAAAACTAGACCTGTGGTCAAAGCATCAGATGTAACTCAGCCTGTCTCACTGAGTTCACTGATTAAGACTGTTTTTACTGTAGAAATACACCTGAGTATAATTATAAATATTAAATTTTTTTACAATTGGAAACTTGAGTTGTGTCATTTTTTGTTTTGGTCCATGTTTAATTCAGGACACATTTAAGCCCCATCCTCACTCTTCAAATCTAGACAGACCTTTTGCTATGTCTGCACCTCCCGTTCAGACTAAAACGGTGAAAAGCTAACCGTAGCTAGCTGGCTAACTATTCCTGACAGCCCCCCGAAGTATATTCCTCTTACCCTAACCATCACAGGGTGCATAAAGTTATTGATTATATGCATGTCGACCTAGCAGATAGGGTTAACCTCCATTGTGTTGCTGTGCAGCCTCCGGAGATAGATAGAGATAGATATAGATATATCTAACGTTAGATTTGCCAGAAATACAGTGGTAACAAATCTGGTTTGAAAGAGAGGAAAGACAAAGAAAAGATGTCAATCTGTAACCCATTTTTTCACCAACAAAGGTGTGCAGCCTTTAGTCTGTGAGTGGTGTTAACCTGTTGGCTTAATGTCCACCGTGAATAAGCTAGCTAGCTACAGACTAGTGTAGCCTACATTTCATCAACATTAATCAGTGCAGGGAAACGTTTAGCAAGAGATTCATAATAAATCATTGTCCCTGCCCCTTTTAGCAGGCTAAAAGTCAGCAGCAGCTGTGTCCGCCCATAACTGTAGCCTCCCTGCAGTGAAGAAGGTGAGCAGCATGGTGATGACGACAGGCCAGTTAGCATCATTCCAGGGAGGCTGTGGAGATTTCTCTTGCTCTTTTTGCCAGAGCAAAAGAAAATGAAATATTTAATATGACACAAATTCAAACACATTTTCTCACATAATGATCATTATGAATAAATTAAAAACCTTCAGTCTGTACTGGATGCTGGACAGCAGCTTACCTCAGCTTGCATGGAAGTACAGAAAATATTAAAATAATCCAGTTTGATAAGTTCATTTAGATTTAATTATGGCCGTTAAATGATCTATTGATAGGTGTTAATGTTCTAATCTTTAATTTTACTATAAAAATACATTGAGACTGTGAAAGATTGTCTTAAAGGCAGGGTAGGTAAGTTTGAGAAACTAGCTAGAGACTGCTGGATTTTTAAAGTATCCAACAGAGAAACTCCCTCCCCCTCCCTTCTGAGCTCCTTCCAAAGCCACGCCCCCAAAACATGTGAACGTGCGTTGCCGACACCGCGGGGACAGTGTGAGGAGCGGAATGAATTGAGAAACAACCCGAGTTTTAATCAGTAACGAGCTGGCTAGCTAACTGTTAGCATCAGGTAGCTGTGCTAATGTAACCCTCTGCGTCCGTCTGTAGACTGTGTCCCTCTTGTGTCTATGGCGTGGAAGGATGGTACGGCCACACAGGACTTGCTCTCACTGGTTCTCCTTTTATTCTGGTATAAAAATCAACAGCACACAATCAGTAACTTTGTGTTATGCAACTGCAACCATCAGATCTGTATGAAAAGGAACAATTATCATCCAAAATAACGACTAAAACATCACGGTCGGGAGTTAGCAAGCAGGTGATTAGCTAACCAGCTAACGTTAGCTCAACCTACGACTGAAAGTGCTACTTGTGAATAAAGTTACTATTTCTGCATGTACGTGTCAGTTACTTTAATATTACTGCTAGTAGTGCTTACTGTCAAAAACATGTTACGATAGTCATGAAACCAATTTTAAAACATTAAACATGGAAATATTGATCACAACGTTGCTCACGTGCATCTACCTCTACCTCTAGCTTGGAAGTGTTTCCTTTTTGCTAGAGGCACGTGAGAAAGAACCCTGTGTATGCAGTTGCGCTATTAACCCACCAGGTGGCTCCAACCTACATAATGTAACACAAGCATATCAATTTTGTAGAAATTCACAAGCGATTATTTTTAACTCCGTTACACTAACAGCTGCTGTAACATTGGGCAAAGCTAAAAACAGGCTGAGACACATTTTCCCGTTTCCATCAGTTACAGTACACGAATGTGTATTTCGTGTTAGACTCATAACATGTACGTTGTTTTGCATGTTAGAGCTTCCATGGTGACAGCATTATTGTCTCTGTTGAGGACTGCACCCCAGAGCCAAGCACAGACCGGGACAGGCGAAGCAGAGGAAGGAGGGCTGCCCGGAAGAAGAGGCAGGACGGGGAAGACAAGGTGCAAGCCGAGCAGCACATCTTCTAGGACCTGTGTCGTCTATACATTATATTTAATATTAGTCTATTATCTCCCAGTGTACTTGTCTCAACGTTTCTCTGGTGTTTCCCCCTAAGACCTTTGGGTGTCAAAAATAAAGTGCCATGTAATCTCCCCATTGTTATTACTTTATTATTATCGTTTACTGATTACAACTAACTACAGCTCTGCTTCAGCCATCGGCTCATCTGTGTCATGTACATTGACTTGGTGTGTAATGTGGACACAGAAGTCCTGTTAGAGAACAACAAACCCCTGTTCAATAAAATATCTGATCATGTTGATGAATGTTCTTTCCAATTACACCGATCTTTCCAATTTGAGGTTCTAACAACTATATATTCCTTTACAGGCCAGAATCTGAGGACTGTGGACATCCAGACTACAGTGTTTCCATGCACCACACAAGGCTGATCTTCCAGACCCAGGACAGAGTAACAGACAGTTCAGTCAGGCAGCTACAGACAGTTTGTAGTGTGGCAGTGTGGAGTACTTGGTCACAGAGGAAGATATGCAACTGTTCTCCTGATCCACCAGGACAATACAGAGGTTTAATCCTAGCAGGGTGTAAGATGTAATGTCACTAACTGACACAGTGCTACACAAATAATTCCCTCCACTGTGTGAATGAATACCTGTACATTGTTTTATTTTTATGCCCAGGAGGGTAGAGAAAATACCCTCCTGGGCAAAAAAAATCCATGTGATATTTTCATTCTTTTTTTAAATAAAACACTGAAAATGATAAATCCTTTTTCTTTAAACTTGCAGCATAAACAATCAAGCAACTACATTTATGTCTGAAATAATGACATCCAAATGTGGTACAACACTTGTTTATTGTTATATAACTACTAAAACTACAACCTTTCTCACAAATAGATTAGATTAGATTATTTAGATGTTGCTGTATGTAGCAAACAGTTGGGGCAGGGACACCTGACTGAACCCCATGTTGACGGGGATCATCAGGTCTCTGGTTCTGCTTCTAGGCATCTCTTCAGTAGAAGAGAACCATCGGAGGAGGATGAGGAGGATGAGGATGGCACTCTGGAGGTCTGTGATATAACTGTAATCCTTCTCCACTTTCAATGAGTACAAGCTCCACTTCCTGGACTTTTTGTTATACACCTTGCTGTACCTGATAACACAGAAAGGAGGATCAGCTTATTGAAAGTTACTAACACCGGACATTGTTCTCTTATAGAGTAATTAGTAAACTATTTCCACATAAATGAGCACCATTTATCTGTATTCCTCATTCTGTTTAATATTTTTGACTGATCACTTATAAATGTATTGAGTAAAATGCAAGAGACTCATAATGCAACATACTGCATTGTGTCATATTTTCTCCTGGCTGGTCTGTGGACACGGTGGTTGTAATCCAGGCCAGCCAGCGTGGTCCAATCAGTGTAACTGGTGAGAAGCACAGGGTGTTGGAAGACTGCAGTCGACTGAGGTAGAAATAAAACAGTATAAGGTTTTCACACAGTAGGCTACAAACAATGTCAAACTATATTATAGGTAGCTTATATACTAGAAACACAGATACTGGGGACCTTTAGCCATCATTGTTTATGTACACTAACGTTGAAATGTCTTTAAACTACAAACACACAGCTACATCATTGTAAAAGAGTAACATACAGTTAAACAACGCCTGCAGACACAAGACAGATTAGATACAAAGTGTAAAGATAGGTGAAACATAGTATAATAAACCTAGATGGTGAATAACTAAACCGGCGCAGTCTACACCTACATTGTCTTACCTAATATTAGCATTGGAAAACACAGCTTGCGCTGCTGTTTCCAATCCCTACAGCTAGATATAATTCATCGCCTCTACTCTGGCTGCTACACCAGCCTGCACTCATAGCAACCGTTAGCTGTGTATGCTAAGTATGTCTATGAAGATTCTCAGTCATCCAGGTCATAGTTATCCAACGAAGGTTAAAATGAAGGGCAACTGGACTTGGTTGAAGATACTGGAAGACGTTTCGTCCCTCATCCAAAGGACTTCTTCAGTTCTGACTGACTGGCAGGGAAACTCAGCTATTTAACCTCAGTGGGGTCGTATCCCGGGTCATCGATACCGCTGGTTCGTAGTGTTCCTGGTTGCTGTGACGACAGTCGTTACAGTCGTTAAGACTACCTGTGGCGAGACTGAACGACCATCGTTGGTATCTTCACTGAGGCCAATAGGTACTTTGTTGAGTTTCCTGGGAAGTGATGAAAGGACAGCATTGTAAGTGGGGGATAAGTGGTGGCGTAGACCCCCTCCTCTGTTCAATGACAGCTTCTGACCCTGGTGTAGATGCTTCCTTGACACCTCTTTCAAACCATCCATCTTATGCATCTTATGCTAAGTAGGTAGCTACGTTTGCTAGCGATGAAAGTAACAAATTACCATGAAAATGATAAAAGCCAGATTCCTTGTCCAGCAGAAATAAAGCCACCACGGTGTAACTTTTATGTCCCTTGGTGTTCCTCAGTTGTCAGTCACTTTTGTTGAAAAGCCACGCAGATATCGCTCGTCGGTCTGAGAGCTGAGAGAGCTGACCGGGCGTGCGCACGAGTGGCTGTGTTTACTGCAGCCCTGAGACGACTACAGACAGCTGATTTTATACTTCTTTTTCAGAGCAACTTTTTATATGCATTTGTGTATATAGACAGTTTCAACAAACAAAAAGTGTTTCAGAAGCTACTTGCCTACCCTGCCTTGAAGGACATTTTTATGGTGGATTCTAATCTTGCATCATATAGTGAACTGCATCCTGTATGCAGACTTGCATGTACAAATCACCAGCAGTAAATATTGTGCAAGTACTAGTATTGAACT